TGGCTCTCCTCTGAGAGAGTCTTTAAAGATGGATGGAGGGACTTACCCAAGGTCATATAGTGTGTCACTAGCAAAGATTATTATAAAACCTGTGCCCTAATTTGGTCTTGTAAACTTGAATTACTTCCCTGGTTTGGACAATCCCACCACAAACCAGCACATTGGCTGCTGGGCTCTTGTGTGTGTCAGTGGGCTCCTTCCTCCCTGAGCTCTTCCACCTGCCAGCCTGGGTCTGGCATGGGAGCAGCGTGGGATGGGGACAGGACAGGCTTCCTGTGGCTTCCCTATGGCTTCCCCACAGAGGTATCTGAAGGAGGTGCCTTTTGCTGGAAGTGAGCTTGTGGAGCTGGAAAAAAGCCGGAGCTTGGAAAGAGGGAGATAGGAGTGATGCAGAGAAGCTGCCTAAGCCGGTGGGCACTGGTGATGGTGCTGCCTCTTTATAATAGAGTTCTGGCTTCTGACCCAGGCTGCTCCAGTGCCTTGCCTTTCCCAGTGTATTTTGAAATTGCACTGGCATCCCTGGATTCAGGGCTCCTCCCTCTGCACAGAAAGAACAGACAGAGAAAGCCGCTCTCCAAAGAAGCCGCTCTCCAAAATGAGTGTTAGTGGAAAAGGGAGACAGGTGGGAGACTCGGGAGCTCTGGAAGAGGCTGTTTTAGGTGAATCACATCCAGCAAATCCTCCCGTGGGAGTATTGTCAGAGAACAGGAACACCAGTGTGCAGCAGCAGCATCTGGCTTGCTGGGAGCTGGATGTGGGCAGGACGTGCTGGGGCTCGGTGCTGGTGAGGGATTAGGGAAGGATCTCACCGAGCTGCTGCTGCGGAGCCCCTGCAGCTCCAGCAGGTGAAACCGGGTCAGACCCACTCCTGGGAACAGGCTGTGAATTCCCTGCAGGAAAGGCAGTTGCTGGTGAGTCACGGCCCAGGCTGTGATGGGAAATGGATAATAGGGTGAGTGATGTTTTTTTTCACACAGCAGGACCCCAAGGAGGTTCTGACCTCATGGGGCAGCCGAAAGCTGGCTTTTGTCTGGGTTCTGGGTGGCCAAACCCTGCATTCCTGCAGATGTGAGCACAGCAGGCTCTCCTTCCCAGGGTCTGCCTTGCACCCCTGGACTCGGTGTGCCCACTCTGCTGAGGCGAGTGGGGGCTGTGAAAGCAAGGAGAGGAAAAGAGACAGCTCTTGTCACGATGGGAAAGGTTGAAAACACCAGTGAAAGCAGGGCAAGCCTGTTCATCCTTGGGCATGGACACGTGGGCGGGGAGCTCCTCTGAAGGGTGGAAGCTTGCAGTGAGGCTGGTTGTGAGCTCAGCACGAGGCTGGTGGTGGTGTGTTGCGAGAGGTGTTGTGATGCTGGTGGACTCTGCTCTGTCTGGAGCTGATCTGATGTGACTCACCCCTTACCTCCTGTTTTAACTTGCATGCTGGCTGATCTCTGCAGTGTCCCATTGGCTCCCCAGAATGTGCTGGGGTTGAGCTCTCGCTGCTGCCCCTTTCAAGCTCTGCAGTTGCTGCCGGAGCTCAAGAAGGCAAGGCAGAGAGGAGAGTGCCTTGCAGGCCTCCCCTGCCCACTGCCCACATTGTGCTGTGTTGGGAGACATCTCAGCCTGTCTATTTCCGAGGTTTCCTTCCTGGCCAACCCAAGGCATCAGCGTGGCCGTACTTGCAGCAGACCTGGGCTTGTTAACCATTCCTGTTGCACCCTGTAGGATATGTGGGTCCCTCCCGTGGGAGATGAACATGGTCCTCATTCTGCTGTGGCTTTTCCTTTGTGATCTGAAGCTGCCGTATTCACACAGGTGTGGAAGGAGCAGACAGCTCCTGCTTCAGAGTGATGGTGGTGACTTTTACATTGAAATGGCACTGCATTCTCCAGGGTTCCTCAGCAGAGATCTGTGTGTGACTGCAAATCAGAGCAGGGGGGTGGCCTTGGGGAAGGAGTCATTATTTGGCCCCCTCTTTCCCCTTCACGTGCTTTGTGTTGTGCTGGGGAGGTGGTACCTTACTGTGGGGTTGAGGGCTCAGCCCAGGCCTATGGGTGCCTCGGGGGCTCAGAAATAATCCAAGGAATGACAGCTTGGTGTGGATGTGGGGAAGAGAAGCCTCTCTTTGGGGCACCTGCCAAACTAGCTGCTCCGAGACTGCTTTGGGATGCAAGTGTCTTCTGTGCGCTTCTGTGTCCGGAATGGGGGAATAAATCACTGCACAGGACATTCCTCCTGCACCCTGCGCTGCAGCAGAGACCTCCTGGGGCAGGGACAGGGGATGATGGAGCCAGCCTGGGGCTCCGAGGACGTCAACACTGGCCTTCCATGGCTGGCCCTGAACAGCTCTAAAATAAGAGCACAAATACCTTGGGGGAGGAGAGGGAATTTTTTATTTTGCCTGCTTTTCTTTTTTTGCCCCTTTTTTTTTTTTTCTTAAATCCAAAGTGAGGTGCCCCTGCAGCACCACGTGCCTCTGGCAGATCCCGGGGAAACTGGTTCAGCCAGCACCAGTCTGGGCAGGGAGGGTACTGCCAGCGCCGGGTGCTCTGCCTGGCAGCGAGGGTTCCACTGGGATATGAACTGGGAATGAAGAGCCACATCTGTCGGGGAGGGGGAGGGGGGGGCCTATGGGTTCCCCAGGACCATTGTCATAGGATGAGCCACTGGTTTCATAATCAAAATGCCACCTTTTAATTTTATTCCCCCCCCCCCCCTTCCTATTAAAATGGCCTGGGAAGCCGTGACACTGCACAGCCTGGGCTCCTGCCAAAGAACCCTGGGGCTTGTGTTCCTGCTCGCGCTGCCAGGCTCCGGCTGCCTCGCTGCTCCATGAACTCCCCTTTCTTGGCTGGAAAAAGGATTAAGTTAGCTGGACAGGAAAATTAATTAGCTGCCATTTTAAGGATGCAGCTTTCATTGCAGTCTGAAGTGTTTTGAAATGACATTGTGTCACTGAGACCAACTTGGGGCTGATTAAAAGGCTTTTACCTGCTGGAATACCAGATTTATTTCCGCTGGGGTTCTGCCCCTGGTGATTATGGCTTCAAGGTGAACCTCAAGGCCAACTCCAAGGAGTGTTTTGCCTTTGCTGTTAGTGCCGGCTGTGGAAAGCTGGTACCAAAGTTTTTTCTGCTTGTTTAACATTCAAAATAGCCTTGCTTTGCCCTTCCCCTCTGCAGGCAGGCTGCCGGCTTGGCACAGCAGTGCCTAGGACAGCAGGGAACTGCAGAGTGAGCTGCAGCTTCCCTGCCCAGCTGGGGCTGGGGGGCTTCCCACAGGGAGCTCGGGGGCAGCGCTGTGGCCCTGGATGTCACGGGATGAAGTTCAGCCTTCCTGAATCGTCTGGTGGAAAATGGCTGCCTTTTGGTGCAGGTGATCCCAGAAGGGAGCAGAAATGGTGCCACCCTTGGTGGGAAAGGGAGGGCTGTATCCAGATGGAGGATGTCCATACAGCTGATGTCCTCACTGAAGGTGTCAGAGACGCAGAAGGGCAGCTCTGCTGCAGTGTGGTGAAGGGTGAGGGAACCCAGAGCGTGGGAAGCGAGTGATGAGGAAGTCAAAGAGTTAGAAAGTCATCACCATTCCCTGCTTTCTCCAGGGAGGGGGCTGTGTGGGTGCTCCAGAGCAGTGGGAATGGGGCGTTATCCACTAGCTTTCCAGGGAAAGCTTTGACCCAGCTCTGGGCAGCAGAGGGGAGGAGAGGGCACAGAGGCACGGCCGGGTCTCAGGGAACAGCGATGGCTTCGCCGCTCCATCTCTGCCGACATGTGGAGGGGCCGCACGAAGCTCCTCCACAGCTGTCAGATGTGTGACCAGGAGTGATTTCCACACACAGGGCTGTAATTCAGCCCTCACTGACTCTCCAGGAAAACAGCTTTCTGCCAGCTGAACTTCCAGCCCGGCCTCTCCGACACAAACCACGGGCTTTGTCCCCTCGCCTGTGAGGGCCTAAACAGCTCCTTCCCTCCTCGGCTTTAAACAAACAAAACCGCCCCACTGAGATCTCACTGGAATAGTAGAAAAACCCAGCAAAATTATTGCAGATTAAACCTGCTACTTCAGCAACGACTGGAAATTACCAGCACATTTTTTTTTTTAATATTTCATGTAGTAGAAATATCATGGCCTGTAGCCAAAGCCCTCACGTGATCGCTGTAAATGTGCTCTGGGCGAGGCTGGAAACTCTTCTGCCTAATCCAAGAAGCTCTTGGCTGAACTTTTGCTTTGCATTTGAAGAAGAGAAGCTTTTCTGTGAAGAACCACACACTGCAAGGTAAGCATGAGGTGGCTTTGGGAGCTGGTTGAGGTGCCCCTTCTTAAAACACTGATTGTTGATGTTTTACACCCTCATATTCTGTGCTGAACGGGGAGCTGCAGCAGTGTGGAAAGGAGATGAAGGGTGAGTCTGTTGCTCTCTCTGGTGCAATCTTGGTGGATGCTGTGGTTAAGCAAACTCCTCTAGTTCTTTGGTAACTTCTCAACAATCTACCCCCTCCTTCCCCCCCCCCCACCCCCCCCCATCCAACGGAAAAGCAGAGCAAGGAGTGAAAAGTGATCTTGCTCAAGTCCAGGATTTTAGCTATCACCAGCCCTGGGAGCAGCCTGAGTGTTTCCCCCAGTGACTGTTGCAATACCAGACCTTGCAGGAGCCTGTCCTGTGGGCTGGCAGGGGATTAGCACATGGTGGAAAAGCCTTTACTGTGGTTAAATTGAAGACAGAAAATATGTCAGCTCTGCCAGTTAGGATGATGGGGAGCCTCAAAGGCAGGCAGATCCCCAGGCTGGTAGCATTTCCCTCCTAAATGTTTTACTCAGCTACTTGCAGCTATTTTGATCCCCCCCCACTGATCCTATCTCCCAGTAATGAACACCAGGCCAGGCAGCACTTTCACACAGAGCTGCTGTAATTAAGGCAATCACTTCATGTCAGTGCTAGGCAGTCACTTTTAAATAATAAGTCACCAGGGATTTGCTGCAGCAGGCTCCAGGATGGTCAGAAATAAACAAATAAACACTTTAAGGATATCAATTTTTATTTGACATTGTGAGATCAATAAGAAAAAATAATTTGTACAGCTTTGTGATATAACCATTGCTGCTCAGGGTGAGGCTACTCATCAGGGCCCTGATGCAGCGCACAGGGTGTTCCCAGCAGGACCTGCTCCGAGCAGCAGGTGATGTTCTCCACCCCCCTGTCCCACAGCAGTACCTCCTGCCTCAGGCAGGTCCTCGTAGCCTTACAACAGCAGAAATGGGGCTTCTTGGACGTTCTGGGTGAACAGCTCTGCTCTAAGACCCTCTGTGAACCCTCACTGCCAACCACGGCTGCAGGACCCATCTGGCACAGTGGTTACTGACCTCCTGCTGTGCTTCTCCCTCCCTCTGCTAATTCTGTCTCTCCTCTGCCTCACAAGGTCACCTGGCCAATGTTCAGCTCTTCCCTCTGTGCAGCAGCTGCCGCACAGCAGCCCCGTTCCCCAAGGAAAGAGCTCTGTCTGCAGTGAGGTGACCTGACACCTACTATTTCTGAGGCCTTTGGTGACGGCAGCTGGCAGGAGCTGATTTGTGACACCAGCAAGGGGGGAATCAGGACACTTTAGGAAGTAATCCTGCAGCTCAGATGCTTTCAGCTGGCAGAGTAACCCTTTCCAACCACATCCAGATGCTTAGGAGTGATTGTAGAGCAGCAGCTACAGGTATTGCTCGAGCACTGGGGCACCCACTCCATAGGACGGGCAGAGCTAGAAAAAGAGGCTTCGGTTTACACAGTACTTTTGCCAAGCTTTTTGCCTTTGACAGTTCTTAGCAGTTTAAAAAATCCCAAAACCCAAACCAAAAAAAAAAACCCAAAACCAACCTAACAGATGCCAAGACAAAAGGCTGAGTTTCCACTGTGGCAGTGAGACATCCTCAGACCAGGCAAAATTCTTGTTGGCCCCACCAGTATCTCAACCCACCCTCCCCTTGCAACATCAGGGAGGAGAAATGCCAGACCAAGAGAGATTTTAGCATTGATTCAGCCCCTGAGGGGAGATGAGAATTTAGATGTAAGAGTTAAGGACTGTATAATCTGTTCTAATACATGAAATCAAGACAGTAATCTTAAATCAAGAAGGGCTCAGCTGGAGAAATCAAAGTGGAAGGCTCTGTTGGCAGAAAAAGGGGGAGTTGTCCCATGACCTGGACTAGTGCCAGCAAACAGAGCAAACTGCTGGACCAGACAGAAGGGACAGTTCTTACTGATACTTATACATTTCTCAGAGAAGATGACTTGGAGCTTGTACCTGGTGCCAACACACAGTTCAGCATGTTCACAATGTTCAATGTTCCCGTGTTCACAGCCGGGGAACACGAATACAGGGGGTGAAGACGGAGTGTGGTGGGTTATCTACGTGAGCTGCCTCCCCAACACAGGCACTAAAGCCCAGCCACAGCCCAGGCACCCGGGGACATCATCAGACACTTACATAAAACAAAGGAGGGCAACAAGGAAATTATGTGATAACGAAAAACCCGGGGAAAAAAAACCAACCTTCACACAACTGTTTTTTAGCATTGTAAAAAAAAATAATAAAAACAAAAGCAATCTTTCTGACTTCCCTTGCCACACCGTGCAGGTCTCCCACAGGCATTCTAGGGACAGGAGATGCTGCCCCTTTTCCTGCTGTTCAGTGAAGCAGTGCACACAGCATTTCCGAGGGGCTCCACAGACTGTAGTGCAAGCAAACCAAGAAAATAAATACACTCAAACATTCTCTCCTGTCAATGGACACCAACTGCAGGAAAAACTAGCTCGCTTTTTGTTTTAACTGAAGTTAAGTCAGCTGCAACTCATTTTAATATCTGAGACTTTTGGAGATGTGTTTCACAGCATAACTGTAGAATTTACACTGCATTGCCAATCCATAATTCGGTCATTCTTGTTAACAGTGTACAAAGAAGGTCATTAGTTTATATATATATATATATATATACTTTATAAAGTCTGGAAGATCAATATAAATACTGCTCCAGAAATTAAAAAAGTGTTTACATCCCCGGCTTGAATATTACATCTCAGTGTCCTGGGTTATTGGTAGGATCTGTAAAAGTCTTAGCGGCGCAGAGGTTCAAGTTTTCGAAATTTCAGTGCCGAGCTGGATGACAAAGCATCTTGGTTTGAAGAAGAATTCACTGTGTCTGGGGACTGGAACAATACTCTACCACGATGATTAAATACATAAAAAGACGGATGGTTCCTTAATGTGTCAAATGTCCTTCAAAATAAATGCAAAAAGCCAAGGTTAATATGCTTTTGGAGCAGGGAGTTTATGAGAGTCAGTCTGGACTTTATCCACTTGAGACACAGAAGTACAAGCTTTCAACCCGTATCCTGCTCATTTTCTAAGCTTCCTAAACTAAAACACAGAGGAAATACAAAACCAACTGTGAAAAATATCACAAAATGTCCCCATCGCAAACTTGCCCTTCCTTTCCTCGAGCTCAGGGGCAGAGTGGAGCTCATGCAGCCTGTGGAGTGCTGCATGTGCACACCATGTGCCAGCCTTGGTTCAGCTGTCACCTGTGTTAACACCTTGTCAGCTTTCCATCCCTTTGGGTGTCTCAAGCTGAAGACTTTAGGTGAACGCTCTGAAATACACCTCTGTCAACTTGTTTACTTTCCACACTCCCCTGTGTCTTTGGAAACGGCCAGAGAGGCCACATCTGCCCACCCAAGTTCATATCCTTTTCAAAATCTCTTACGCTCTCAAACTCTTTCAGATGTTTTGCCTTGAATAGTTCAGTGTAAGGTTCAAATAACTCAGACTCTTGTAAAGGGACAGACACAAGCAGAGGGTGGGCCAGGCCCTGTAGTCTGTCAGACCATGTCACGACAGCAGTTTGTGATTCCTGAGCTCTACTTCCCACGTGCACATCTCATTCCTCCACCACCTCTGCACAGCAGGATTTTGGATGAGGAAAAGCAAAAAGTTTCTTTAATTTGTTCCTGTTATCTAACCCTCTCACTGTTGGCTTTCCCAGCTGTTCCTCTCAGCGCTCCTGACTACAACAGGCATTCAAAAACTGAGCTAAACCCAAGCTATTTCAGTGTGCAGTTCGTACAGGAGTAGCAGACATCAGTGTTTACAAAAAGAAGACATAAAACATACTTATTTTTTAGTTCTGAAGTGGCATCCATGTCTTTGAACTCTCCTGCAATATGTGCTATCCCATAGCAGGTGACTGCAAAGGCCAGCAGGGTCTGCAGGACTATCTGCAACAGAGGGAGCACAGAGCAGCACACACATCACTGGGGGTTCTTCACGTTCACCCAAAAATCTCAGCTCCCACACCGTGTCTCTGGTGCTTTTCACCCTGTGACAGCACATGCAGGGCTGGGCGAGCCAGCAGTGGGGAAACTGAGGCACGGGAGGGTTAAACACCCCCCTGTGAGCACAGCAAAGCCCTGGCAGAGCTCCAGCTGCCCGAGCTTGGGTCTGAGCTGCACCACACGGCTCCTCAGCAATGTCCCGAGCCCAAACACTGTGTTCCTGTGCACTCCAGGATCCCAGCTCCCCCAGGAATGTGCCAGCTGCCAGCACAGCCTGTGCCAGGCTGCCCCAGGCACCTGATCTCCCTGCCCTTCTGATTAAGCAAAAACGTAACGGATAACTGAAGTGGAATTCAAAAATTGAGCAAATAAAGTAGCTAAGAACCCCCCTTGCTGAAGCAGGTCGTGCTGGATAAACATGAGCCAGAGGGAGGAGGGTGTTTGTGCTGCAGAGGAGGTGGATGCAAGAGCTCCCTGAGCTATGCTGGAATCCTGGACAAGGTGCCCCAGGGTAATTCTGAAGACAGAGAGAAAGGTTTGGACCTTGTGTTTGTTCTCTCTGACAGGTATAACACACCCAGGAGGCTGGGATGGAAAATGTCTTTCTTTCTGACACAGGGAGCTTGAATGAAAGTGCAATTTAAAAACTACTTTGGCCTTGCCTTCCGCACTAAAAAAAAAAAAAATGGAGAGAGACCAAACCACTCCCACAGCTACACCTTTCAAACGCTACAAAAACTTACATCTATGGGCAACGTTTCATCCTCCTTCTCTGTCAACCTCATGTACGAACGATCTACAAAACAGAAACACACATACACATCAGTCACTCTGTACGAGCAAACACACAGCCCAAAACCCCCCAGAGACTCGGCCGGAGCTCTGAGACACATGTCCCTGCTCTGGACTGCCCCCGGCCCCGCCACGACCCCGCTGTTCCGGAACGCGGCTGGTCCCGGCCCGGCACAGGGAGGCGGGCCGTGGGGCCGGGAGGCAGCCACCCCTTCTCTCCCTCCCTCCCTCTCCCATTCCCTCCTTCCCTCCTCGGCTGCCGCGACGCCCGCACGGGGCGATCCCCGCGCTGCCCCCGCTGAGCCCCCAGCCCCGCTCTCCCCGCAGAACGTCCCGCACGGGCAGGGCCGGCCCCGCCGGCGGGGCTGAGCATGGGGATGATCACGGTGAGGATGAGGATGATCACGGTGAGGATGAGGATGATCACGGTGAGGATGAGGATGATGGTGCTGCCGGGCCCGGCCGCCGCCCCGGGAGCTCCCCGGCGGCCGTGCGGCAGTGCGGGTGCCCCGGCTGCCCCGCCCCGCGGCCCCGGCGGGGACTCACGCTGAGCCGCCGAGAAGGCCGCGTGTGCGAGCGCGAACAGGCCGAGCCCCACCAGCCCCTTCCACACCGACCCCGCCGCCATCGCCGCCGCCAGCGCGCCCCCGGCGCGCGCGGATGGCGTCACCGGGGGGCGGGGCGGGACAGCACCCGGGGGCGGGGCTGCGCGGGAGAGGCGTGGTTGCCGTCAGAAAAGGGGCGTGGTCACCTAATCGCGTTCCCACGCACGGCCATTGAGAAAAAATCCGAGGGGTCGCGATGGACCCCCGGGATGGTCCCGGCGTGGGGGGCAGAGGGAGAAGGGGACCGTAGGGCCCAGGACCAGGCCCGCACCCTTCACCAGATCCATTCCGGGGCCATGGGGGTCTGGGGTAATCACGTTTAAGCTGACCATTGTGGCATTTATTGCAGCCCTTGCCCCACCGGCTGCACGAACCCGTCAGCCCGAGCCGGGGGTATCCCGCGGGACACCCCTCGACCATCCCACACAACACCCGCTCCCGCGCGTGGCTGTGCAAAACTTCTTCCTTGCACCAGGTCGCAGGGATTTTTTATTTTTCCCTCTAGAAAACCTCCTCGAGCCCCCAGCACCTTTCTCCTTCCTGCACCCTCGTCCCAGCCTCCCTTCGCAGCCCCAGTCACACCCAGGCGCCCCTTCCCTTCCCAAAGCTCTCCTCGCCTTCACCCCGTGCCCCGCTGTCCCCTCTCTCCATCCCCGCTCCCTCTCTCCCCATCCCCGCTCGCTCCCGGCCCGTCCCTATCCGGGCTCCCCGCGCTGTTCCCGCCCCCGGCGCCTGCGCCCAGCGCCGCTTCCTGGTGTCGGCGGGGCCGGGCCGGTGCCGGGGCGATGGCGGGGCCGGGGCCGGGGCCGGGTCTGGCGGCGGCCGCGGGGCTGTGGGCGCTGGGAGCGGCGGCCGCCGAGGTGCCGGCGCGCCCCGGGGCGCTGGAGGAGGAGATCGTGTCGGAGAAGGCGGCGGAGGAGAGCCACCGGCAGGACAGCGCCAACCTGCTCGTCTTCATCCTGCTGCTCACCCTCACCATCCTCACCATATGGCTCTTCAAGCACCGCCGCGCCCGCTTCCTGCACGAGACCGGGCTGGCCATGATCTACGGTGAGGGGTGCGCCGCGGAACCCCATCCCCTGGGAGACCCCGGGAGCTGCCCCGAGCCCGGGGATCCCCGTCCGGACCAGCCCCGGCTCCGCGCTGGGCCAGCTGGAGGGGCCGGGTGGGCGCCCCGCCGCCCCCTCCCGTGGCACCGCCAGTGCGGACCGGCAGCTCCGGTTCCCTTCGTTCCCTTCAGCCGAGGGGCTGCACGGGGCCGGTTCGGTGGGCGAAGGGGTGCGGGGGTCCCGGGGGACACGTCCCGGGTGCAGCTGGGTGCTGCCGTGTCGCCGGCACCAGCCGGGCTGTCGCCCCGTCCTGGCGTGCCCCGTGCTCAGCCTTATCTGGGTGTTGCTGGAGGGAGGCTTGGTTGTTTTCCAAACCCGAGATATCGAGGGCTCTCGACGGCAAGAGTTACTCTCGAGTCTCTTGACAGTGAGGAGCTGGTTGGGTTTCCACAAGCAGCCTCGGAACCTCATCACTGAGCACTGGCAATTCCCACTTACCTGCTCCAGGACTTGAGGCAGCACAGACCAGTTTTTGCACTGGCCAGAGGCTTTGCACTGGTTGAGGGTCTTGCATCCCAGGTTAGATGGGGCTCTGAGCAGCCTGGTCTAGTTGAAGGTGTCCCTGCCCATGGTAAGGGGCTTGGAAGTAGATGATCTTCAAGGTCTCCCTCCAACTGAAAACCATGTGATCCCCCTTGCTGGGGCCAGAGGCTTTGTTTCCACCCTCTCTTTAGAGTGTCCAAATTTCCAGAAGCTTTCCAAAAAGAGTGGAGAGGCCATCTGGGGGATGCTTCTACCCTTTGCCATGCAGAGCCAGCAGCCTTGCATTCTGCCTCTCGGGGACCTGTGTATACAAGTTTTTTACTTTTTAGTAAGTGGAGTGAGGCTGTGGGTCAGGGGAGTGGCTCTGTAGCCATTTGAGTTTTTACAGTGGCCTGTGATTTAGTGAGGTGACATGGCCTCATGAAGTGGCCTGAATCACTGTATGGAGGTGCCATATGTGGCTCTGCCTGGGTTGTCTGGAGTTCAACCAAAGCAGGACTGGGAGCTGTTGTGAGGAAGTGATTAACATGGTCAGGGATCCTTATCTAGTCAAAGATTTATTGAGTCCAGGATTGAGAAGGCGTGTTCTGCTGCATGCTGTGCTCAGTGTCTCTCCTCCATGCTGCCCTTGCCCTTGCTGGTTGCTGGTGATGTGTGACCACACTTGCTCACAGCAGAATCCCCCACCCAGCAGAAAGCTTTGTTCTGAAGGCTGTAACTCGACCTGTTCTGGCTGTTGGCTTTTGTGATCCTAAATTTCAGTTAATTTGAAGTGTCCTTCCAAGTGAAGGGGTAGAGACACTTGGGTAAGCCCAGAGGCACAAAATCCCGGTCAACCTTTTCAGATTCCTTGGAGCCATGGCTGAGGCGGGTGCTCGCTCATGTTGATGGCTTCCTGCCCAGGGCAGGGGTGGTCACCTCCCAGGACAGGAGCTGTGCTGTGGGAGCACGTGCTTGGATGGAAGGTTTTCCTTCTGCTGCCCCAGAGCTCCTGACATGCGACTTTCTATTCCTTTCATGCTTTCAAACTTGCCCTTAACCTTCTCCTGGAGTTTTCTTCCTCTTGATCCTGCATTCTCCGTGACCTACCTGAGTGCTCCCTGTGTTCTCAGAGCACAATCCGGGTTGTTTCAGTCTCCTGCTGATTCATGAAATGCATCTTTTTTGTCTGCTATTCTGCAGACTGTGCTCAGAGACTTGCTGGCAAAATCAGTAATGTCACCTGTCTGATCATGCAGAAAATCCCAAGTTTTTCCCTGGTATCAAGGCTTTTGGCTTCTCCAGTACTGGCAGCTGCTGCAGGAAAAGGGATGTGTAATTTCCCAAGGAGTGGTGAGATGCTGTTGTTTTACAATGACAACTTAAGATCTGCAGGGAAGAAGGCAGGTATTGCTGTCCTGGTTCCCTGTGTTGCTTTCAGCCCTAGGGAAGTTTACTGAAAATTTGAAAGGACTGGAAAACAGACCCTGAAATCTGGGCAAGAGAAACAATTTGTAAAAGCTTGTCTTTTTCTGTTTAAGAAAACTGACAACAACTAAGTCAAGTTAACCTCTTGCATACAGCTCTTCTGGTGAAACACGTCAGTTTCCTGGGTGTCTGTGTTTTTACTCAAAGTTATAATCTCTTGCTCTGGATGGATTTCTGTCTCACAAATCACATTGTCAGTTCAAAGTTGATGTTCAAGAGCTGGACACAGGCTGGAGCCATTTCACAGTAATAGAAAATAGGTATTTAGTAACCCTAAGCTTCATTCCAGTGTTTAAAATGAGGTTCCTACATCTGAGGTATTCAGGGTTTAGGATAATAAACTGAACAGTTTTGTTTCAGTTCTTCTCAGGATCTGACAGTGGACGTGGCAGAACCTCCTCTAGAAGTTTAGTTTCCTTGTACTTGTTTCCACTTGGCCCCTGGACTGTGTGTGTCTAAACTGCTTGTTGTCAGGATGCCTTCAGTTGCTCACTACATTTTTCTTTCCTTTCGGTGTCCAGACTAATGCTCGCCTGGGGATCCTGTCTGCTTCCATTGTTGTTAAGTGCTGGCTTGTTAATATATTAGTCTTCATTTAAAACCTGACTTCGGAAATGTTCAACAGCACCTTAAAAAAAAAGCCCATGGGCTTTTGTTCTTTTTAATGAAGTTGGTAGAAATGCAATGAAAATAATCTCTTGCACTTCGCATAAAAGAACTCAATTAATTTACCGGCTTTGCCTTCAGCTTCTCTACTCCTTGCAGGTTTTGGCTGGCAGCTTCCTTGGTGTCAAGTTCCCTCTGCTCAGCTCCCTCCCAAGGCTCAGTTTTGTAAAGCTTTTGGCTGTAAAAGCATGTTGATACTGGTGGACTGGCTCACGAGCTGCTGCTTAGGCACAGCCCTGTGAGTGCCAGGAGAGTCTGAACCTTTTCCTAAGAGGCTGTCAGAGCCAGGAGCACCTACACGGTCCCCTAGGCTTGGTCCAGGTCGCCTGAGCTTAGGATTAGGTTTGGTGTCAGAAAAAACAGGACTAGGTTTGGTGTCAGAAAAACCTTGGCAGGTTTGTCCCAAATGCCACTAGCGAGCATAGTTAGTTGGGGAGGGTTGTTCTGAGATCCACTGTTGGGCAGGAGGGGCTGCTGGTGGGGTCACTTAATGTTGGTGGAATGCTGGGTTTTCAGTGGAGCAGCAGGATGCTTTCCATGCAGGGGACGCTGGTGGTACCTCTGAGTCGGGAGCTGCTGGGCAATGCTGGGTCACACTCGGTGCCTGGGAGATATTTGTGCATGTGTGGGTTTGCACATGCTGTCCTTTCCTGCCCTGGGAGCTCTGGGAGCCTCCCAGGCAGCCTGTTACTGGGCAAGATAAAGATCCTGATTTTGGGAGCCTCAAGCACAGTGGTCTTGGCAGATATTGTAGGTTTATCTGTCTCTTTTCCCTTGCCTCATTGCTGGACAGAGTGGGAATTCGGCTGTGTCTGGAGCATGGCTGGCACGCAGGGCCGGAACAGCTGCCTGGATAAGTGAGACAGTGAGGAGGAGCAGGGATGCTATCAGATGTAGGGCTGCTTTGGGACAGGGATTAAGAGTGGAGAGGCGGGTGAGTCAGGATCCCTTCTGAATTTCCAGCAGCAATGTCCTTCTGTCTGTCCCTCCTTCCTCCTATGTGGCCTCTCCTGTCACAGTGCTGAGCCCGTCTCAGCAAGAGCAGGCAACTGCTGCTGCTGCAGGGTTCTGACTCCTGCATGAAGCTCTAAAATTAACTATTTTTTTCAAGGAAAGACTTTAAAAGCCACTCCAGGTAGCTCTGGAGGACTACAAAACATGGTGTACTCTAACAGCCATAAGCAGATGTAACTAACCCTTTGAAGCTCTCTTTATCCCACTGAAGAGTTTTGGTTGTTTCCCATGGGACCTTGGGGATCATCATCCCCTGGGTGAAAGGAAAACGGGGTGTTTTGCTGCTGTGGTGCCATGCACCCCCCTGCCACATGCTCGTGTAAATACACGCTGTGGTGTCTTTATGTGCTTGACATCCTTGCCTGCATTCTATACTTTTGTTTCTGGAGCACAGGAAGATCACAGGAACAAAGAGGATAGCAGAAAAGTAATCAATAGAATTCCTCTTTGGTATCCCCTCCAAGTGCTGCTGATGTAAAAGCAGTTCTCACAGTGTGACGTGCCCTGAAGCAGCTCTCCTTGCTGGAGCTGACCGTGTCTGGTGTGCTGAGAGGGACCTGTTCTGCTGCTGTTGGGGTGATTCAGTGCAGGATAAAGCATGTGTTGAGCACCTGGTTCTTGGTGAGTGGCTTAAAAACATCAGTAGCCTTTTAGCTCACCTGTGCTGCAGAAGTGCTGTGTTAGAGCAGAGTTGGGTCTGAAACTCTCCAGTTTCAGCGCAGTCCCTGAGCAGAGCTGTCGGTGTCACTGGGGTGGTGGGTCAGCAGTGGTAAGTCTGTCTGCAGACAGCTCCTCTGCCCCTGCTCATGGCCTGGATGTGTGCTCAGGTGGCCCTGCAGTGTGTGGCATCCCTTGGGATGGGAGGTGGGGGCTTTTCTTCTGGCAAAGGAAAAGGAGCAAATCTTGTCCTGGAAAACTGCTGCCAAGGGAAGGGAAAGCAAAAAGTGGGTCTCAGATCAGGAACTGGCAGCAGGAGATGCTGAATGCCCTGGGACCCCATGATGTCCTACCCGGCCACAACTCCTGCCCAGGCTCTGCTCCCATGAGATGGTGGCACAGAAAGAGTTGGGTGTTCCCTTCGGTCGGGGTTGTGCCCTGCCTGTAGGAAAGCACAGAGCAAAGTCTTAATTAAGGCAACAGCAAGGAAGCAGGAGTGTCCTGGGAGGCAAATGGAGAAGCCTTCGGAGTGTTGCGGTCTGTGTTTACTTCTCACATGTCTGAAAGCTTTTCATAAATGTGTGGTTCAGAGATGGGGTTAAGATCCAGGATTTCTGTGGCGGCTTGGGGCTGCCTTAATCAAGGAGTTTCCAAACCCCTTCGTGCTGAAGGCTGTACAGAAAGGTGTCTTGTGGGACACTTCTCCACCCCAGCCTGCAGATGTCAAAAATCTCTGCCAGAAGAGCAGTCAACACACTGTGGGTGAGAATCTGGATGTGAGACCTCAGAGCAAAAAAAAAAAAAAAAAGCTGTGTAAATTGCTGACTTGCAGATTAACCCCATGATGCTCCTTTGTAGCAGCTGAGCTGGAGGCAGAGTTGGCTCTTGGGGCTGCCCTGGGGCTGCTGCTTGTGGTGCAGAACTGAAGCATGCAGGGGCGAGGAGTAGGTCTGAGTGGACAGCCTGGGTTGGGAAACTCTCATGGTTTTATAAAAACAAGGAGAGGCTGTAAATAAAATGGGAGGAGGCTGTATGGTGTTACAGCACCTTAGAAAGGATTGTTGCCAGCCTCCAAGTGCTGGTGGTGGATGCTGGGTATTGTTTTTAATCCCCTACCAAAATGAAGAGTTTAATGTGTTAGTGTCAGGTTTTGGAGTGCAACATGCATAGTTTGGGCACACGTGAGCAGCACGTGGCCCAGGTGCCCAGCAGTGTGCTCGCCCTAAGACACCCCCTGTGCCCTTGATGTCAGCTGTTTTCTGCACTGGAGCGAGGGTCTGACTGATTGCTGGGTAATTAAAAGCCTCCTTGACCCATCCAGGCTGTGTTAGGAAGTCCATGTGAGCATGGAATGTTTGCATGGCCCACGGGGGATGAGGATGGTTTGGTTTCACACGGGCAATCATTTGGGTGCTGGTTGTGCTCAGGAGCTGAGCAGAGGGTCAGGATCCCAGCATGCCTGATGCTGCATCCGTGCCCAGAGATCATCCCAGGAGTTTGCCATGGCTTGTCTGACCAACCTGTGTCCCTGCCCAGGTGTCCTGGTCGGCGTGGTCCTGCGCTACGGCATCCACGTCCCCAGCGACGTCAACAACGTGACGCTGAGCTGCCAAGTGCAGACCAGCCCTGCCACCCTGCTGGTCAATGTCAGCGGGAAGTACTACGAGTACACCCTGAAGGGGGAAATCAGTGCCCAGGAGCTCAACAACGTCCAGGATAATGAGATGCTGAGAAAGGTAAGGGAGTTGGCAACTGGAGACGTGAGCTGTGCTTCCCACTCCCTCCATGGGGTCGGTCCTGGCTCTGTTGGATTAAGTGATTTTATTTTTGTTTTTTTAAACTTGTGATTGTGGTCAGCTATAAATTATAAGTTGAACACAATCTAATGAAACTCTAGTTTCAGCTGATCTTAATTTAAGCTGTATAGACTCTGGAATGTGTCTCCAGAAGATCCCAGAAGACACATCCTTGGCATTGACCCAACAGCATTTCACCTGAGGGTGGTTCAGGGTTTCCTCCATGTATTACTTTCTTATTTGTGTTTTGTCTTGCAAAGTTTTAACAAATCATTTTACTGTTGTTTCTTTTTTTTTTTTTTGTCTTTCTTAACAGGTGACTTTTGATCCTGAAGTATTTTTCAACATTTTGCTTCCTCCGATTATATTTTATGCAGGCTACAGCTTGAAAAGGGTACGTGCCTTTACAGTGCCGATGTTTTTAGTTCCTCTGCCTCCAGAGAATTTTAATACTTGCAAGTGCTTTAATGCTTGCTCAGCAGGCCAGGCTTGTGGAGGTGGGTATGGTTTTCCCCAGCACATGCAGGATTGAGGGAGGCAGAACTGAGTGCTCCGGTCATTCTCATCTGTCCCTTTGCCCTGGAAAGGGTCAGTGACTTCAACTATTTCCAGCACGGGTTTGCACAGGGATTTTTGAGGTCGTCCAGGCCATTTCAGCCATCCCTGCTTTCCAAACACATAGGAGTGTGGGAAGCTTTTAGACAGCAGCAGCTCTCTGAAATGCTGACTTGGAAGGAGAGGAAAATAATGCTGTTTAACGTGCGGGAGAAGGAAGGAGGAATGCTGCTGGGTTAGGAAATCAGCTCCCAGGACTTGAAACAGCATCTTATTAAATACACAGGTACAAGAAAATGGTATATTCATGTTTATTAATGCTGCTTTAACTGCTGGTCTGGCAGTGTGCTGTGCTGGGCACCTCGTGCCTGGCCAGCTCATGGTGCCAGAGCTGGGTCCAAGTTGCTGCTGACACTGTAGGTGCCTGTGCAGGCTTGAAAGAAATTGTTAGCAAAATATAATTTTTTTTTTTTCTCCTTCTAGAGGCACTTCTTCAGAAACTTGGGATCCATCCTGGCATATGCTTTTCTCGGCACTGCCATTTCCTGCCTGGTGATCGGGTGAGTAGGTGGAGCTGGTCCGGTTCTTCCACAGGGGTTTGAGCTGTGCTTGAAAGCAATGCCTGAGCCTGGAGCTGCAGGTGCTAATCCCAGCCCTGAAAGGTCTCACAGGCTCTGCTACTGCTGCTCTGCAGCAGCAAATAATACTATTTACTGTCCAAACTGCTGCTGTGTGGACAGGATGGTTGCTGTCTAATTGCACAGTGCTCTCTCAGCATCCCATGGTAATAGTTACTCATGGCAAGGAAGGTTTCACAGTTCTCTGGAGATTATCTTGAAAAACCAGCACCTTCACATTCTTGAAAGCACAGCCCCAACGAGCGTGAGACACAAGAGTAGAGAGGCAGGATCATAAACACAGGTGCCTGCTGAGCACAAATGTTTTTCAAATTATTTATCCCTCTGTGCAGAGGGAGTTTGATGATTCCTGCTCTGAGCACACAGGCTGGCATAGCGTGTTTTCCATTGGAGTCCAGTGGATTCAGGCAAGCTCAGCGTCAGCATTATCTGTTCCTCACTGAAAGTTTTGGCCGTTTCGAAGTCAGGCCAAGGCCATCCCACTGAGTGGTGTTCATGTGAGCACTGCAAAGTGATGGTGGAACCCCACAAGCCTGGATCCTGCTTTTCTTTAGCCATGTTATGCTTGTGGAGGAGTTCTGGTCCCAGTTCCTCTCTGGCGCTGTGTTTGTGGTTGAGTGCAGCGGGTGCTTTGGTGCCTGTGGTCCTGCACTCACCTCCAAGATCATGGCCCTGGGGTTTCATCAGGCTCACCTGGTCCTGTTCTTTGGTTTTCTGGCATTTGGCTAACTTTCGAGGTTAATCTGGCAAATTCAGGGAACTTGAGCCCACTTGAATGTTGTTTTAATGCACTGCAGAGATGAGTAATTGCCTCTTCTAATCATCAGCTCTGTGGTGTATGGCTGTGTGGCGCTGATGAAAGTCACTGGGCAGCTTGGGGGAGACTTCTACTTCACTGACTGCCTTCTGTTCGGTGCCATCGTGTCAGCTACTGACCCAGGTATGTTAAATCGTTATGTTTCCCCTCATATTACCTACATTTTGATCTGTTTTGAGTTGTGGTGAAGAGGGGAAGAAAGTCTGAGACCTCTGCCAAGTTCCCTCCTTTCAAATGTTGGAGTTTAATTTATTTGTGGGATTCTTAGAGATCCAGTTTGTCTCTGTGCTTTTTTATTTCCTTCCAGTGTTGTGTAACAGAGCTTCCAAACCTCTGATTTCCTGAGTCCTTGTTTGCAGTTAAATCTCTCTTGACTTTTGCTGGGTTTTGGGACAGGTCCACCCTGTTGGTGCCATCGTGTCCCAGCAGCTGATGCAGAGCAAGGTGTCTGATGTGGGGAGGGTTCAGCTTATAGTTTTAGTTAGTTGAGCTATTTTCTCCTGCTTCCATTGTGATGGGATTTTGGCACATTTTGGGATTTTCAACTAATTGAGATTAGATTAATGAGACACCTTAATGTACTGAAGACAGTAGTAACATCTTGGTCCACTGATGCACTTTTTAAATCAAAGCTATGAAAAACATGCCTTGTCTAACTGAATTGTACTTAATTCATGGTTGCTTTTGTGTGGTAGGTGTTTATTTGCATGCTTCAACTTCATGTAAAAACACAAGACCACAAAAAGGCCTCTCTTTGCTTCTGCCCTTTGCTGAGCAGGGCTTGAATTCCTTCCTTTGTAGCCTGGCTACTATGTTTGAGACCAGCATGGGGTGGCAGCATCACCCCCTTCCTAACGCTACAGTAGTTTTGTTGGATCTTTTTAAATGCAGATACTGGTCAGTTTTGCTTGGAATGGAGAGATTGCACACCTGGATAAGCCAAGCGTTCCACCCTTTTGAAACAAGTGCCATTTCCAGATGAAATGGGACTTTTACCTGTTCATTTTGACAATCAGTCATTTTTATTTTCAATAGCAAAATGAGGAGCACTGTATGTATATGCATGTATGCAAGAATAACACCGCAGAGCACAACCTGCACCCCAGTGTGGCAGTAGCCATGTGTGTCTGCCAGCAGGAGGTGCGAGATGTGCCTTCCCCATGAGTTTGTAATAATTTATTTTTTATGTTTCCCTAAGATTTGTCAGGTATTGGTGTGACTCTTACTGCTGCTGTTTTTATTTTTTTAAAAAGTGATTTCCCATCTTCTTCAGATATGCCTGGGCTGGGTGTTCAGTTGTTCAGGTTGGATCGGGCCTTCAGTTCCCTGAGCAGGGAGCTGTTCCCATGTGGCTCCAGTGTGGATTATCCTCCCTGGAAGTTAGCTGGGGAGTCAGCATTGAAATGGGATCACCCCACAGAAGTGGTGGTGGTGGCATAGAAGATCTGAATCTGAGGATTTATCTCAGAGTATTAAGAATGGAAGGAAAAGGCAGTAATTGTTCTGGACAAGCCTTATCCTCCTGGTCTTTTGCAGGTGGAGGAAGGCTCTCCCTGATGCTCTGAGCTAACAGCATCCCAACAGCTGCATGGCTTTTGCCAGCGTGGTACCGTGGTACTGGCACCATGAGCTCAGACCCCCAGGAGGGTCAGAGCAGAGCTTTATGTCTGCCTGCAAAAGATTCAACAGACCAGGATGTGTTTTAATAGGAGGAGGAGGAGGGAAATGATGAAGCAAATCCAAATGTGAAATGGCTGAAGGAAGACTGTCAAAGGGAGCACGTGGGGCAGCTGGCACCGTCACAGCAGAGTGGCACAGATGTGCAGGGAGGCAGCTTTCTAATAAGGGATGTTTTGTCTTTGATTACACAAAAATAACAGCACCTTTTGAACGTCTCTCTATTTTTCTATTTGTCAGTGACTGTCCTTGCCATATTCCATGAGCTCCAGGTTGATGTTGAGCTGTATGCCCTTCTCTTTGGCGAAAGCGTCCTCAATGATGCCGTTGCCATAGTGCTGTCTTCGTAAGTGTCTTCTGTTTTTATTTTTAATTGTTATGTACGTTACATGTCAGGTGTTGAGGGGGGAGCCACCTGGCCTTGCTCCTGTAAAATAGGAGCAAGGGTGTTTGCAAGAGCATATTAAGTGTCCCAAAAAGCTGTAGTGACCTTCTGATGCATATCCTCATTGCAAACGGCTGCTTGGGATTACGGGTTGTCCTTACAGCTTTCCCCTGCATGATGGATAGTTCTGTTTTGCTTTTATGGCCAGTTGACCCATCCATAAGAAAGTTTTTATGTCTCACTGAAACAGGAAAAGCACCATGTCTGCATTTCAGCCACAGGACCCCACTGAAACCCCTTGCTGATGGCTTTTCTCTTACCTGCCTTCCTTTCCTATTCCACAAATACCTGCCTTTGTTTAGGTGGAAAGAGCTGGTAAAGCAGCTGTTTTTCCCTTTCTCTCCCCACTTTCCATGCATTGAGGAGGTGGTGCTTCTTACAGCTGCAGTTAATGCCCTCAACTAAACTCAGGGGACACTTGCTGCCTTTCTAAAGAATGCTTTATATTCTTTAATATTTTATGTCCTCTGCATGCAGGACATATTTTATCTGCTTCTTCACTGTGTTGTCACTGCGGGAATTTGTTTGGAAATATATAATATCTGCAATGGTGACAGCTTAACATATAGCTCAGACTAATGCAGAAAATATTTCTGGAATACTTGTCACTCTAGTGTGCTGGTTGTGTGGGCTTTACTGGAGGCAGCAAGTAACTTACTGTGAGCCGTGAATCGCCACCCGTGTGAGCTGTGTTTATTGAACTGAGAGCTTCTATTGGGGTTTCTGGAGCTGTTTGTGGTGCTCACTCTGGCTCTTGTGCTGGATGTGTCACCGCTGGTGTGAGGGGAAACGCTGCACAGCCACTTCGTGTTTCAGAAGGGATCATGAGTGAGGAAGGGACGGGGTCTCCCAGCCTGTGCTGGGAGGTTCTGGGTGGGAGTGGGTGGATTCAGCATCAGAGTTGTGGAATTTGTGGTGGATCACACGTAGGTGATGGCACTGTGTGCAGCGATTTACCTCCTGCACTGTTTCCATGCCAGCTTTGTAGCTGTTGCTCTGATTTCCTGCCTTCCTCTCTCCACAAGCTGAGCTCAGTCCACCCCCTCTCCAAAACGGGATAATTTGCACCGAGGCAGCAGCTCCGAACTCAGTCAGCAGTTATTTAATTTTGCTGCAGAGTTTTTGGGCAGAGGGGCCTGGCAGCATGAGACACTTCTCAAGGGCATCTCAGCAGTTGTCCTCTCTCTGATTTAAAGCTTGCCCTGGTCTCTCTCTTCCTGTCAACCACAAGCAGTGTAAGGCAGGCCCAGGCTGCACTACAGGTATCTCACATTCAGTGCAGGTAGTTCAAGTCACCTGGACATAACCACGCCTTGGATGCAAGGAGGAGGTGAGGGTCCCTTGTGCCAAGGAGAAGAGCTCTTCCAGGAGCAGCCTCTAGCTCCTGCTTATGGTTCCCTTTTTTTAAAATTAGTTTGGCATTTGCCTGTCTCACAGCAGAGGCGTAAGTGGGGCAACCACACAGGGATGGTTGTGCTCCCACAAGCACAGCAGGACCTTCTCTCCAGTTAGGAGCTGTTGGAAAGGTGAGGAATTAGGTGGTTTCTGGGCAGGTGGGCTGTGCTGTTGGAGGAGCCGCCACCTGGGTGACAGATGGTGGTGGGTCCCACCCTGTTCCAGCTTGAAGGGGGGCTCCAGCCACAGCTGGATGAGTGCATGGGATTGGTGGTTGCCCCAGGGAGTGTGGTCAGCTCCTTGCCTGTGGTTTCTGCCAGGAGCTGGGAGCTCCAAGGCTCTTCTCCTCCCTGCTTTCAGCTCCAGACAAATGTCTCTTCCCATGCTTAGAGAGCAGGATCCATGTTCTGTTCCTGCCTTGTGCTGGCCTGGCCTGGCCTGGCTTGCAGCAGCAGGGAACTTGTTGCAGGATGAAGAGGAATTGAACCCAGAACTGAAAGCCAGTGGGCAGTGAGGTGCCAGAGCTGCGGTTTGGGAGCAGGGGGGTAAACGCAGCCTCAGGGTCTCTACCTGCTTCCTCCAAAGGGAGGTTTCACAGAGACCAAACCCCACGGGGATCCCCACAGGCATATGGGAAATAAAGGGCAGCTGGCAATAATGTCTTATTAGCAATGCAAAAAACAAAACCAGAAGGAAAACTGTAAGAGATTAAAACACAAAAGCCGACACCCAAAGGGTTGGTTGTGGAGGGGAAATGAAACCTGTCTGGATTTAAAAAAAAAAGCCACGAAACCCCAAACCCCAGAACAAAAGCACGTCGGTGAATGAGAAGTATAAAATGGGGTTGATGAAAGGAATTAAATCACAGGGAGAAATCTGCAGCTTGCAGTGTAAAAAGCAATGCAGAAAAATGAGACGGATTAAAAACAGGGAAGTTTAGCAAAGGAAGTGACCCGTGATATGTTGGAAAGGGGGGGACTGTTATTTGTGTTGCAGAAAAATGTTGGTGTGTAGTTAGGAGAGAAAGCTGCAGGATGTGTGTGCAAGGCAGTAAATGCCTGTTCCAGCATAACTCAGCAGGTTAAACAGTGTTTAAAGTTCACATCCAGGAGTTTTAACAGAGCCAGCCAAGAAATTGCTAACTAGGAAGTTAATGTTTTTGGTAAGTTTATAGCAAAGAAAGCCATGTAAGGAGTTAATGAATGGGATTTAGGAGCTGGATAAGGGCCCCCCTGTATCTCAGCCTTTCCAGGTAAAACAGTGGAGTGGCTGGTGCAAGGCTCAGCCCATCAGGAGTTGGCAGGGAGCAGATTCAGAGATGGGATCAGCATGGCAGACCTGTTTGCCATCTCATCACAAAGGTTTGAGGTGAGGTGGGTGCAGAGGATAGTGTTCTGTTGTGAATGGCACGGTGCCATCTGCCTTGCTACCCTGTGATATTGCACTTCAGAACTCAGAGCAGTGCAAACTAAATGTAGTGCATGCTAAATGTGGCAAAACAGCAGAACTTACAGTTCTCCAGGGAATATTCACATGAGCCGCCTCGGTGGAGTCGACGGAGAAATTTAGGCTTCCCACTTGAATGGTTTGTGGTCCCACAGCGCTTGGCTTTTACAGAGAGCTGGTGCCAAACCCCCGAAATGCCATCAGAAATGACAGATCATGTGAGGGACAGGCTTTGGTCTGATGCTGTCTAGGAGTAAATGCAGAGCCATGCCTGGGAGGGGTGGCTGAAATGCAGACAGCCGGTGGTAGGGAAGGGTATCCCAAACTCCCCGGGGCAGGGTGGGTGTGCTGCGATCCCAGGGGATTGCAGTGTCTCCCTGATTCCTCAGGCTCAGTGGTTTCAGCAGTTGTGGCACTTTACAAAGCTCATGTCACACTGTGAGGTGCCTCTGCCTCCAGACTAAGGAGTATTTTGTGTGTGCTTTCCCTCCCTCTTCCAGTTCAATAGTTGCGTATCAGCCAGCAGGCGACAACAGCCACACGTTTGATGTCACGGCGATGTTCAAGTCCATCGGGATCTTCCTGGGGATATTCAGTGGATCTTTTGCAATGGGAGCTGCTACTGGAGTTGTGACAGCTTTAATATCCTTTTTGTTGGTGTTTTTTTTTTTTCCTCGTGTTTGCATAAGAGCTTCTTTTGCTGTGCTGCATCTCACCCAGATGTTTCATGTTTTCTTTCCCCTAAATTAACGAAGGGCAGTGGCACAGCCTTTTTAAGGGCAGACTGTAGTGTTGCTGGGATGCACAATTAGATTTGATATGCTCTTAGCCTGCAGTGTCCCTCCAAATTGTCCTTAACCATCTTCAACGTCACCAAGTTCACGAAACTTCGGGAGTTCCCGTTGCTGGAGACTGGCTTGTTCTTCTTGATGTCCTGGAGCACGTTCCTGCTGGCTGAAGCCTGTGGCTTTACAGGCAAGCTCCAGCGCAGCCCTGCCTCTGGGATGGAGATCTGCAGGGATGATGGGACCACTGAGTTTTGCTTCTTCCAGTATCAATTGCAGCCAGGGTTCTCCCTCTGCTTGAAGAAGTTAAATTACTCTGGGTTCTGGGGTTACTGCATTAAGTCCCCTAAACTACTGGGGTGTAGCTCAGCTCCCTTTTTATGACCAGGAGTCTAACATGATGCTCTGCTCCCCAGGTGTGGTGGCTGTGCTCTTCTGCGGGATCACACAGGCTCATTATACCTATAACAACTTATCTACAGAGTCCCAGCACAGAACTAAGCAGGTGAGAACTCCTCAGCCCCCTTCAGCCTCTCTGAATTTCAAGCTGAATATTTTTTCCCTCCCACTAGCCAGAATTGGGTGCATCTGTCTTTCTACAGCTGGATTTTACTAGGGTTGCTTCTGCAGAAGTATTTATTGGGTGATGGATGGGCTTGCATGCTTTTCTTGTTATATCTATATTATATCTAACTCACTTTTAATTTGTTTTTCTTTTTCAGTTGTTTGAGCTTCTGAATTTCTTGGCAGAAAACTTCATCTTCTCCTACATGGGACTTGCACTGTTCACCTTCCAGAACCACGTTTTTAACCCTACCTTTGTGGTGGGGGCATTCGTATCCTTTGGAACCCATTTTATAAGACAAAGAGAGAAAGGGAGAGGTGCCTCATTCCCTCTCATGTGTTCTTCATTCCAATGAGTGAGTTTGGTTTTCTCCAATCAGTTTAGCTTTATTTTTAAAAGGGGATTTCTGCCGTGTAGTGATGCCTTTGCTGGTTATTTTAAGAAGATAAGGAGATTCTTTTCCCAGTTTTTCTGTTATTTTTTTTCCTTCCCCCTGTCTTCTCTCCTTTCGTGGGCATTTCAGTCAGCTGCTGCAGGGACTTGTCATTCAGTGTGACCGTGATGCTGAATGCCAGGCTGTCACGTGGCAGCGTGGCACCAGGAGTGGCTGGTTTAGCCATTTATTTCCTCTTTTCTGTCTTAGTCCACTTTGTTAACCCTAAAAAGCACCTTTTTTTGGTCAAACAACACAGTTAAAGCTACAGTAGATGCCTGTGAATGATGTCACGAGAAAGGATTTCCTCTTCTGGAGGCTGATGCTGACAGGGACAAGAGATTGGCCCTGGTGTGTCTCAAAAAAACAAGGATTTCGAAGGAATTTTTTTTCATATCACAAGGAAGCCAGTTAAATGTGCAGAATTATTTTCACCCTTTGCATGGACTTAACACAGGTTTATAGTGATAAATAAAACTTCGTTGCTTGTCAGTGCTGGCCCATGGGTTTGCAGCAGGCTCAGCTGGATTTCCCTAATGAACTTTTGAGGGTTTGCAGTCGGGTAAAGGAGGTGTAGAGCAGGGAGATGCCATTTGGGTGGTTATATTGGATTTTGTGCTGTGCTTCTTCAGTGGGAACTGGCTAACTCGCTGATGAAATAGCTCATTCATGAGAGAGAGCATGAAATACGTCTCTTATGCAAATTCATGGTGCTCAGGAAAGAACATAAAAGCTGGAAGCATTTTCCACATTATTCGAGGCTGCACTGAATACTGGCTCCAAGATTATTTTTGCCATCTGGGTGCTGGTATTAAAAGACTCAGCTTCAAAGATAAAAAGCAATATGAAGGGGCTGGTGATTCTTGTATCTCACAGGCTATGAAAACAGAAAGAGTATTACTTTTTTTTTTTTTTCCTTCTCAACTGCTGCTCCTTTCATTTTGCTGAATAATCTTTGGGAATGGGACTTGGCTTAAAGCTTCAAACCCAGCTGTGAAGTGTGGCCTGCCAGGGAATGTCAGAGGGGTTGTCGTAGCTGTGATAACTTGAGCTTCACAGAAGACAAATAATTCTTGGGGTGGAAAATGGACCTGGCAGGGGAAAGCATACAGTGGAAATGGTAGTTTTTCTCTCCTCTCACTTGTCTAACACATGCTTTCATCATTTCCCTTGTTTATTTGTGCTTGTCTGTGTATGATATTCCTGAATTGCAGAGTGTGCTTTGCTTCAGCGAGGCAGTAGCCTGCTCTCCCCACACTGCTGTGGCACTCGGAGCTGGGTTATTGTCCTTGCAGCCCCAGGACTGGCATTTCTGTGGCTCCCCAGTGTTTCTGTCAGGCAGCAGAAATTGGCTCTCCGTGCAGGTGGGATGTAGTGGGAGACACAGGAAGAGCAATTTCCTTAACATGTGCAAATACAGCTTGCTATCTTCCTAGGAAGAGCTGCCAATATTTACCCGCTGTCATTTTTACTGAATTTGGGGAGAAGAAATAAGATTGGAACAAACTTGCAGCACATGATGATGTTTGCTGGTATGTTACTGCACCTTTGCCTCCAACCCGTGTGGCCCATTGGCACCTCCTTGCCCCTGAGAACCTGGGAATATTCCTTATTCAACTTTAAATCTCTTATGGGCAACATCTGGAGAGGAGGCTGGGCAGGAAAGGGCTCCCTTAGGCTCGGTGGTGTGAATGCCTTGGTTTGGGGATGTAGGAATGAGCTCCTCCTGCCCTGCTTCGAGTGCACAGCGTGGGGCAGGGGTGATGATAAAATCATCACTGCTCTTCTCTGGTTGTGGATGTCCCATCCGAGGGGGCAGGACGATATGTGGGGCAGCAAGATGCAAACCCCACTGGCAGTGGGGGGTGGGCTGTTCTGACGCGGCTGCCGCAGTGTCCCTTCCCCGGCAGGGCTGCGAGGAGCCATGGCCTTCGCCCTGGCCATCCGCGACACGGCCACGTACGCCCGGCAGATGATGTTCAGCACAACGCTCCTCATCGTCTTCTTCACGGTCTGGGTGTTCGGCGGGGGCACCACGGCCATGCTGTCCTGCCTCAACATCCGGTGAGTGCGCGGGGCTCTCCTGCCACGGCACGTCCTCTCCCTCCTCCTGCTCCTGGGTTAAGGTGCTTGGCTTTCAGAGACAAGAGGGAGATCACATCCCTCCCCCCTGGAGCCTGGCATGCACCCTCCTGGCATTGTGTGTGTAACCCTGTGCTTGTTTTCCTCTCCACAGGGTCGGTGTGGATGCGGATCAGGAGAATGTGGTGAGTGAATTTCACTCTGCAGAGGGATCTGCGCTGCACCCATTTTGGCAGGGGTTACGTTGAGACCCTGTGAATGCCCATCTGTGCTCTGCTTCCTTCCAGCTGTAGGAGAGTTTTTAGCTCGCCTGGTGAAAGAGTTTGCAGTCAGTGGGAGTCACAGCTTTTCTGTGCTGCCTGGGGTTAGAATGAGCCTTGTTTTGACTCATCTGGAAAGAAGAACACAGAAGTAATGCTGGACTGTTTAGTCAGTCCACATTGCTGCTGCAATAGACTTGATCTCTCCCTTGCTGGATTTGAAATAAATCCCAAAATGAGCATGACATGGAGGCTCTCTGCCTCATCCAAGCATACAGGGCAGTACAGAAACACCATTTACTGGCTTCTTTTATGCAGCATGTTCTGTCCCACTTTTACCTCAACCACTCATTTGCTCCCTGTTTCCTGTGGGGAGGTACGTGGCAGCCCGAGAACCACCGACCACACTGAGCTAAATGCTGGAGCCTTGGGAGTTTTCCTGCCTGTTAGCTCTGAGCTGCCTCACTCATGCATCTGCAGCCTGGTCATGCTGTGACTGTGGCTCTCCTTGATTTCAGTGTGGGTTCTGCACCTTGGAGGTTCATTTTATTCATAGCCATTTATTGGGCTGTTCATCTCCTGGAGAGAAAGCATCAAATGCTACAGGCAGCCCAGAGCCATAAATCTGTAAGCCAGATTTCTGTGAGATACATAATTGTATTCATAGTCCCCTCCAAATGTTTTTATTTTTTTTTTTCTCTGACAAAAAGGCAGCCTGGAGTCCCATAACACACAATTATGTGCATACAGAAATCTCAGGCAAGATCTGATGGAGATTGAACCTGTCAGTCACTATTACATGTGATGTCTGGATGCAGCGGATGGCTGTGAGACACTTTAAACTGTGGGGCCAGATAGTGGAAGGCTCTAGCAGAAAAATGGTCACTCTGTGCTTTGATATCACCTCCCTAAGGCTGCTAAACACTGCTAAATGCAGAGTGTGAGCTGGAAGCACCTTCAGGCTGCTGTGGTGTGAATGTCCTTGTACTCACTGAAACCCAAAGGTTTCTTCAGAAGGGACAGTGGGAAGGTGTGTCTTTTTATGTCCCCTGGGGATAATCCAGTGTCCTGTGGGGTCTCCTAGCCCTGATCCAGGTCACTGCACGTAGCCCTGGCCCTGTTTAATGTTTTGCTCTCCCACAGGGTGTCCCAGAGAGCGAGAGGAGGAGTACGAAGGCAGAGAGCGCTTGGCTCTTCCGCATGTGGTACAACTTCGATCACAAGTATCCTTGGATGGCGGTCGGTGTGTGCCTTGTCAAACCCCACTGTCCCAAGCAGCCCTTTTTGACTTGGAGCATGACTTTCTCCCAGCTTAGTAGAGGAGTTTTCCTGTTACACTGGTGGATTTTCGTTTGCACCTACTCGTGTCTGTGAGAAATGACCATTTCCACCTGCCATCAGTGGGAGTGCAGCAGCAGCTCCATTCAAAGCTGGACTCTCCAAGGCTGCAATCCCAGGGGGTCCTTGATCCCAGCTGCAGGAAAGGCTGTTCATTTGCAGTCCTCTTGCTAAATCTCTGGCCCTCCTCCCTTTCAGATTCTGTGCTATGAATTAGTGGAGGAGTGATGTCTGTCTGAGAGGCACAGGCTGATGGGACAAGTGATGCTGCTCAGCGTCTTACCAGGGCTGTGTCCTGGTTGGCTTGTGTCCCTCTGGGCTTGGTTGCATTCATGTTTCTCATCCCTATAACTTTTGACATCACCAACATTGCCCTGTGCCTGTTTGTCCCTTAACCCTCTCCACAGCTATCTAAAGCCTCTCCTGACACACAGTGGTCCCCCACTGACCACCACGCTCCCGGGGTGCTGTGGGCCCGTTGCCCGGTGCCTGACGAGTCCGCAGGCGTACGAGGTGAGTCCATGGGAGTCCTCTCTGTCACAGGGTTGGTGGGTTTGACATGTTTATCTTTCTGTGTTACTTTTGGATGCAGCTCTGCAGCATTGAGCTGGGAGCCAAAGGGGAGATCAGATATGGGGGCTGATGGGTGAGCTGAAGCATTTTGCTTCTCCAGCCTGTTCTTTGGTCGTGAAGGGATTTGTGGTGTATTTGTAGTGGTTCCTCAGTGACTGGCTCAGTGAAGCTGCCATGGATGTCCTTCCCCAGGCTCAGCTGGGAGGACACACAATTCCTCATCTCCTTTCTTCTGGCCTTGCAGCTGAGCTATATCTGCAGCTGCTTCAGCAGCTTCACTCACAAACAGAAAGGTTGGCAGCATTGCCACGCTCAGGAGCCCCTTGCAGCAGCAGCTCTCCATGGCAGGAGTTTTCTTGCCCTGTCTGCAAAGTATCAGCATCAGGTTCCCTGACAAACCAGAGGTGTCTGTGGGGGGTCAGTGATGTGCTCATGGGTATTTTGGTCCTGTCAAAGCCATGCAAAACTACATTCCCCATCTATCTGGGTATGGCACCAGAAAGAGGAGAGCTGGGAGAGCCCTTTTAGTCACTCTGCAGAGAAATCAGTGTGTGGTGTGAGTCACCTGGGCTCAGAGACGTGTGTGTATGGCATGTATTGTTATGGTAAGGGTGCAGCAGAGTCTGTGGTTCGGTGCCTCAATCTGCTCCTTCACCGTCACCGTGCGGTTTCAAACAGCCGTTCCACAAGAGTTCAGCAGCACTTCCCTCCCGTTTGCTCCCCAGAATCAGGAGCAGCTGAAGGATGATGACTCTGACCTCATTTTGAACGACGGGGACATCAGTCTGACCTACGGGGACTCCACCGTCAACACCGACTCCGTCGTGTCCAGCGGGACGTCGCGGCGGTTCGTGGGGAACAGCTCGGAAGACGCGCTGGATCGAGAGCTTGCTTTTGGGGACCATGAACTCGTAATCCGGGGAACGCGCCTGGTCCTGCCCATGGACGATTCAGAGCCCCCATCAAACGTCCTGGATAACGCAAGACACGGTCCAGCATAAGGTTGCTCGGTTTAATTGACAGTAATATTTGCATATATGATCAAGAAGTATGTACTACCTAAAGTCTAATGCATGTCTCAAAATGTCTAAGCTGTATAAATATTATTTATATGGTGTCAGAAGAATATAAATATTCTCTGCCAAGCACTTGTAAAGAACAAGCTGCAAATTTAAGTTAAAAACTGTGTTGACTGCACTATGTAGGGTGGAACTGTTTTAGCGTAAGAGTCTTTTGCACACAGTGAGCTTCGTTAATGTGTGATTTGATGAAGGGTTTAGTTCCCAGCGGGTAGGTAAAGGAGCTGACTCCCTGTTCATCCTTTGAACTTGGGCGAGGAGGGTAGGGAGGTGCTGGCGAGCAGTGGAAATCGCTTTCTAGTCAGATGAGGATTGTTGGTTTTTAGTTTTTGGTCTCTGATTTTTGGATAGTCACGTTTGAAATATCAGTAGAAAATCTGCCCCCAGACCCTCTTGCCAGGCAGTGGATGGTGATAATCTTGTTCACTTTGTGGGAACCTGGAGACTTTCTGCTTTTTAGTGACCCTCTGCCCAAGCCCTGCTTAATTGAGCTCATGGCAGACCCTGGCCAAAGCTGACAGCAACGCCTGTGGGTGTCTGGCTGCTCGGATGGGAGCAGGAGAGAGGGATGGTTGCTGTCTGTAATCTGTTTAGGAGAAGGAGGTGGTCCCGCAGAACCAGGCATGCACAGATTTTAGGACTGAGTCCACCCTTCAGCTGTGGCTCAAGCAGCTCTCTCGAACCAGCCATCAAATCCTCAACTGGCAATTAAATTTCGCGTTTGGGAAGCGACGGCGTCCTTGAGCGAGCGAATCTCTTCTCCTGCAGCCACAGATCTAGCCAAGGTGTGCAGAGCTCCTGCAGCTGCACATGGGGCTGTGGAACCCAGGCAGCCTCAAACACGAGCTTTATGGCTGCAGATCGACACGGTACCTCCGGGGCTCTCCAGAGGCACTGGGCATCCAGGGAGTGCTGAAGGGGAGCCGTCCGTCCGTCCGTCCCCCACAGAGTCGAAAACCATTGCACTTTGTTTGGTAACTCCTCAGCATGCTGTGTGTCTGCAGAACCCACCCCACCTTTCTCGTGTCTCTTTTACCATTTAATGAGAAATGTTTGCGAGTTGATTTGTTTTTTTGTTTAATTTTAATTTAAACTTCTGTTTTCCAGGGAAGAGCACAGAACAATTTGCGATTTCACACTAGTGTTAAAGGATTTATTCTGTAGTTATAGGAATGGCTAAAGGTGCAGTGAAACTGTTAACCCTGACATCCTTTTTCTCCTGAAAAGGGGGAATCACAGAAATTTACTGTATGTAATTTTATTGTCTATTTTATCTACGGTTTTGCTATACAAACCTTTCAGGGTTACTGGTGCACTACAGGCCTGTTCTGGAGTTAACCCTCTCCAGAGGGCTTAAACAGAGGTGTTTAAAATAAAAATATATGAAAAAAAGCCAGGTGAGTTCAGGCACTCACAGCTCCCATTAGCTGTCCTTGGGACAAACTCTGCATCGCTCAGGATCTGACCCTGAGACCTCAGAGCAGTGTCCCCATGCCTGTTTTCCCCAGCGCCACCTGAGTGTTGGAGGAGACAGGAAATCCTGAAATTTCAAGTATATGTGTATAGTTGAGAAGATAAATTTATTTGTTTTTTTGGTTTTTCATTTTCTCAGGTCTAAGTAACATTGCCTTAAAATTATGGATGTGAAACCAATTATTTTGGCAGTTTATCCCCAAGAAAATGTTTTCTTTTTCCTTCAGAACAAAATGTATAAGTGTTGCCATAGGAATCCCCTGGAAGGGGGGTAATGCTCTGTTTATATTTGGATAGGGCATCTTCCTTGCACCTGTAAATGGCATCCCGCTGTTAACATTGCTGTTGGATTAGCGCTGGCCTTTGTTTCCTACTATGCAGGAGTTCCATAAAGTGAGTGTGCATTTTATATGATGTCTGTGACTTAACTTCATGTGTTTAAAAAAAATCCAAAAAAAAAAAAAGGAGAAAAAAAAAAAAGTAGGAACCTGTTGATTTTAGGTTTACTGCATCACTTCTACATCCTGTTTTTTGTTCGTTCTGCCTTTCCGAAGAGGTATGATAAATAACTACCTCTTGTTTTTTCCTGTATAGCCTGACTATGGATTCAATTTACAAAGTTGGTGCAGCTGGAGGTGAGGAGCAGTTCTGCTCCTCCTGACAGCCCGTGGTCCCATCAGCAGGGCCCCAGCAATGGCAGCACTGGGCTCCCTTCCAGGCATCCCCAGCTGAGGTGCAAATTCCCACCTGAGGAGGCCACAGGGTGATGTTTTACCGTGGCTGTGGCAGCATTCCTCTCTTTCTCTGACCCTTCAACTTCAATGATTTACCCACTTACTGTAAACTTGCCAAACACATTACCATAAGCCTCAACTTTTGACAGCAGTAGCAGTTCAGTTAGTACATTAAAGAAAGAAAGAAGTTACAAATTATGGTTTTATGAGATACCTGTGAACTCTTATAATCCATACGTAATGCGACTAGGACTGTTTTGAAAAGCCTTGGTGAATGAATGAATCTAAGCTCAAATTCAGGAGACATTTAATAAATGACTCAGATTAGTCCTCAGCTGATTATTTTCTTTGCTCTGCTGCAGCAGAGCATCCACAAATGCGTGGCTTGCAGATGCAGAGCCCTGATGTTTGTGTGCTGCAGATGGAGTTAAAGGTACCTTGGAGAACTGGGGCCTGAGACCTATTGCCAAATAGATAAGACAGCCCTGAGGAGGCAGTTTACAGCACCCACGGAGATTTAGAGATGGTGCCCTTCTTCTGTAAATTGAATTTTCATGGTTTTTGCACATGAAAAAGCATTGTAGGTAAAGTTATAATTTGTACTGGTACTGTCGATTTGTGTGGTAATGGCATTAACCCCGTAGCTGTGGTGTTTGTGCAGCTGATCTGTGATAGCTGATGATCACTATTGGACCTTCTGTTTACACTGACTAAATCCTTTACTGTTGCGTTGTACTGTGAAAGAAGGATTATGGGCCTATAAAAGATTATTTTTTTTGGTTTTTTTTGGAATTGTGTGTACCGTTTCATTAATTCACACGGAAATAAATCTGTAGCAAAGTGACGACGTGCCACTCGACCTTCTCAGACCGGTTTGTTCGTGGGTAAGGAAGGCAGCCACGGGTGAGGATGCTGGACCCCAGGGTGGGCTGGGCTGCACACTCCTGCCTTCCCAGCTCCTGGGGCACAGCCCAGCCCCGGGGCCATCCTCCCTCCCAGGAACAGAGAGATGGAGAGATGCTGAAAGCTGCTGCAGCTCCCGGGTTCCTCCAGGAGCAGCAAACCCAGCTGGGGTAGCACTGCTCACTCTCACCTGCCCTGAGGCAATGAGAGGTGGACCTGTGTGAGAGCCATCACTGTGGGGTGTTTGCAAAACCGAGGCTCCCCAGCTTTCACAGGCTTTTATATCCCATGGGTCCCTGGAATTTGCAGTTGGGCTCATGGCTGGCGATTCTGCCCTCTGTCTCCCGCCCATACCATTTTTTTGGCACTCTGCTGTTGGAGCAGCTGAAGAGGCAAGTTCTTCAAATGCTTTACAGTCCTTCAGTACAGAGGGCACCTCAGAAACTTCAGGAATCTCTTTTTGAGGGCTTTGATTCACAAAGGACAACCTTCATGTCTTGAATGGTGCAAACCCACACTGCGTCACTGTGGGAGGATGGCCCTGAAACCTTGTTAAACACTTGTCTCCCACCCATAGCAGGGAAGGGTGAAGGGGTGTCTGTGCTGCCTTCCAAAGGGACTGTGGTCCTTGTGGCAGGGGTGGCACATCCTGAACTCTCCTGCTGGGCTTTGCCAAAGCCACGCCTGCAGCTCACAAAAGCACTGGGAGTTCTGCGAGCGAGAGGGGCTTGTCCAGCATTGCTCTGGTCATGGGTGGCCAGAGCCATAATTTCTTACTGTGAAATTATGCTGATTCCGCTGTACGCAGTGACACTTCAAAATCCTGACAGTTGGAATGAGCACCACTAATCCACTGCATAGGTGCTGTCCGGCCTAGGCTTGGGTCAGACCTGTGCATGTAACTAAAACAATCAAGGACATAATTGAGCAATTGAAAAAGTGCCTTTTAGCAGCTCTTCACCTTTGCAAACCCTCAAAAGAAGTGCAAATGGATTGTTTCCTTGAAATAGGGTGTGATTCGAGCCCTGGACCTCACCATTGGTGAGCAGTATCTCCAGTGCCCACAATGCAGCTGAGACCATCTGGTGTGCATCCACCATGCCCAGTGCAGGTGGCTGCAGACAGGCACCCTCTGGGATGGGCTCGCTGTGCCACGAGCTGCCATGTCATATCACCCATGCAAAAATATTTTGGGTAGTTGCTGTTCAGAGGCATTGGAAGCAGAGACAAGGCAGATCCCTGCATGGTCTGGGGAGCGGGACTTGCACCGCAGGCAGGTGTGTAGAGCTGCCATTTGCTGATTAGTCCCTATTTTATTAGTTCCATTCAGTTTGAGCTGATGAGGGGCAGCTTTCAGTCAGGCTATCATACCATCTGTCCACCTTCATGTGGGGATCAGTAAAATGCTGGGAAATGGGCCAGTGCTGGGTATCTACAGCCTCAAAAAAATCGCAGGGCTGTTTTTAGAGCAATCCTGTATTCCCATGCCCAAGGCACAGACAGTCCTGTGCACTTGGCTCTCTGTCTACATGTAATGCTGAAGAAGCATTTACGTCAAGTAAAATTAAACAGCCAGGGTTTGAATCTTCTTCCTTGTCTCATTGTGGCCTGCAAGGAGCTCTGGTCCTTGCTGGGTCCTCTAGATGGCAATATTGGAAAGGACAGTAACTGTCCATCACTGCCCTGTCCCTGCAGGTCTGGGCAGTGCAGAGCCCAGCAGCCCACCCCTCCTCCAGAGACCCTCTCCATCCTCCCCCACGCCTCATGCACCATCCAGCTGAGTCTTTATTAGCAGAAAGGAGAGGAGACCCTGTTGTGACACATCTGCTCCAAGCCCCTCTGCAGAAGCCACCACCTCAAACACCCAGGAGTCTGGATGTGTCAAGGCAACCTTGTGCTCACAGACTTTACATCTCCTCTACACCTTGTTTTCCCCTTGAAGCCCAGCTGCTTGTTGGCAGTTTTTTTCCCAATTAGGCTTTCAGGACGAGGAGTTCAAGGCCAGTGGTCACAAGCTGGCTGCAGGATCAGTTTTGGTCAGAGATGAGCTGCAGCCCTTGCTGGAGCTGCTGACAAGTGTCAAAGCTGGTTCAAGCCCCCCCACCGCAGTGAGCCTGCAAAGGCACCTTCCTCCACGTGCTCCCCATGTCTCACAGGTAGGGCATCACCTGGACACCAAACCATTCCTAGTAGCGGGTGTTGCTGACATCTGGAGCCCATTTGAGGTCATCATGGCTGCTTGCACTCTTCCAAGAGGACTT